CTATTTGTACATTTCAGTTCCTTGGAACAAGATCCACGGTGGATTTCCCTTTTTTTTTTTTCCCCTCTCCTGCATGTCTCTGTTTTGGAAATTTTTGTAAGGTTTTTGTAAAAACAACTCTTGTGAAATAATGGAGGAATAAATATTTTACTGAGTAGAGACGGGTCTGTGCGCTCGATGGGAACGTGGCTCTTTCCTTGCTGGATGCTGTGGTTTCCCCCCCTGCCCTGGGCAAGCAGGGGAACCGATGGTGGCATCTCGCAGCATCTCCCCAAGACCTGGATTTCATCCCAGGCTCCTTCCTAAACAGCAAGTGGTCCCCACTGCCTGGGAGAAGGGCAGGATCAAGGTGGGAAGTGTGTTGAAGCACCACGGAGCTGGGACAGGGTAGAGGGACCATACAGATCTGCCAGGTTTCCCTCTGGCCTGGGGACCCTTGAAGTGATGCCTGGAGATGATGGAAACTCAAGGGGCACAGAAAACAGCCTAAAAAGGTCCCTGAATTACAGCTAATTGCAGGGCCTTGCCAGATGCAAGTTACTTCATTCCAGGATAATGACTAGTGAGGAGGGGCTATCAAGGAAGAGGGCTTGATTTGCTTCTCCTCTTCAAAATCCCACTGGGACTAGCAGGCCCTATAGGATCTGACCCAGGCTGCTCACAAATTCCCTTTGCAGGGGAGCTCCACACAGGGACCAGAGAAGCATGGGGGTTCCTAGGGCTTTTTTCCCCTCAGGTTTACAGAAATCAGGCTAAGAGGCAGCAGGGAGAAGGGTCAGAATCTGCACAGACAACTAGCTAAAAGGTAAGAAACAAAAGGGTAGGAATAAAGCATCAGCTTTCAGATTGCAGAGTACAAAGGCCCTCCAGTGCAGAGTAGGCACAGAGCACCCAAAAGCAGGGGGAAGCAGCCACTTACTTATTCATTAAGTGACTTATAGATCATCAAGGTCACTTGCCCAACCTCCTGCTTAGCCCCAGGCAGAGAACATCACCCAAGCAGCATCCTCGTGTCCTCAGCATGTGGCCAATGCAGAGCATCCTTTGGAGAGCATCCAGCCCCGATTCAAAAGACCCTTGGAAGCAAAGAGCTTGTAGCTCCCAGGGCAGATTCTTCCAATGACTCATTACTGCATTACTGTTAACTGCTGGAAATATGTCACTTATTTCCTGCCTGAACTGTCCCAGATTCAGTTCAGGTCCCACTCAAGCAGGTTTCAACCCATGGTCCACCAGCTCCCAGGAGACAGACAGGCATGGAGAGCTGCAGCTCATGTGGCAGGGTCTGCACTCCACAGGTAGGGATGCACTGGGTGGAATGCTGCCAATCAAGAGGAGCTCAAAGGCACTCTGCTACCTCTCCTCCTCTTCCAGCATGGGAGGATTTTTCCTCCTAGGAAGCAGCCTGTCATGGACACATCCATCACCAGGACCCGTTCCCGCAGGGGAGCTGATCTCCCTCCACACACCACAACTTCAAAGCTGCAAGAACACTATTTGCAGATTGCATTTCCTTCCTGGTTTGCCTTTCCCAAAGAGCAAGGCTCAGGTGACGGGAGGACCTCCCTGTACCCCGTTTCCCTGTTTCTTACCCTGTGCCTGACACTCTTGCACAGCTTTCCAACTGCTGAAAAGTTGAAGCTTGTCCCTGCCATACTTAAATGAGAACAACTTTGTATTACCATCAGCGCCAGCTGCCACGGCAGCGAGACAAAACAAAGCTCACATTTTCCAGCTCGCAGGGATGCCAGCCTGGTTATCCCCATCCAGAATGAATTACGCAGACATGTAGCGGTTACAGCATCCTCCTCTCCCGCTATCCTTGTGCGGAGCCCTTCTCCCTCTGGTGGCAACGGGAAGGTCCAGAGACCCTGCTGACACCACCTCCGAGCTGCAGAAACACGTAGGTGACAGCAGCACCTCGTTTCTCAGCAGCTGAGCCCTTCCTGCGCCGAGGGATGTGTCAGTCACCCCGAACTCTGTGCTCCGTTCGGAAGGAGAGCAGCTTCTCTTTGCAGCTGATATTTTGCTGCTTCTTTCCAAATCCCCAAAGGAAGCAACCTCACACAGCAGAGAAGCTTTTGAGAAGCTGGATGGCAGCCACCCGCAGGGGGTGCGATGCTCTGTGATAATCTGGGAAGCGGGAAGAAGCAAGGCTTTCCTTTGTAGTGGGTGTTACAAAGCTAAGGAAGAGTTATTGCATGCAAGGAGGAATGACTGCATGTGGACACGCAGCACGGCCAGGAGTGGGGCAGAGAATCTCGCCTGCGGCTGATGGGTGCAAGAGCAGACATAAGCCCCCTCCTCAACCCGCTCCCCAGGGGATGGTACCCAACATCCCTCCATCCCAATCGCCTTAAGACCGCGGGTCCTGCCCTCACGGGGGCTGGGTCTCGGTGGCTCGGGGTCCGGGGGTGCCCCCGCCGCCGGTTCTCGCAGCCACACGAGGGTGCTGCAGCCCCGCGCAGAGAGCGCGGCCCGCGGTAGCCCGGCGGGGCCGGGGTGCGGAGCGAACCCCCCATCGCGCTGCTGTGCCCTCTCCACACGGGGCCAGGGACAGCCTTCCCCCCCCCATCCGGTTCCTTCTTCCCTGCTGGGGCTGACACCCACATCGCAAACAGGGGACACCTCACAGCTCGCATCCAGAGCCGGGTAACTGGCATAGAGTTTTCCTTCTTCACCCTCTCATATCCCTGTTCCTCTGTGGTTATCTTTTCCAGGGGACTAACCTCTGGGATGTCCATACCTGCAGAGCTGGCTCTTCCTACTCTCCCTGTAAGCCCGGGGAATCCACTGAACAAAGGAATTTGGGTGGCAAAACCCTACAGCACCAGGCAGAAGATCCCCACGTCTGCTAGAGGAAACGGGAGATGTTGGGAGGGTAGAGAAGGCAAAGGTGTGCTGTGACCTGTGGCACAGGAGAGCTGCCCAAGGGGAGATCTTGGTGCCAGACCCCACCAGGGAAACGCCTGGATGATCAGGATGTGGGAAGCTGCACAGACAGGTAAGGAAGAGGTAAGCCCAAAGCTCAGGGGTAGGAGGGATCCTGGTGCCGAATTGGCTGGAAGTGTATGGAAAGGGAAGCAGCTTGTGCTGGGGCTCCTCTTGCTTTTCCCCCACCTCCAGACACCTTGGGCCCAGCAGAGCAGAAGGATGACACATCCTGACAGCGTGAATCATAGTCAAATACCAAGCTCTGTTGTTCTGCAGTCCCAGGTGGGTTTCACAGCGGTGCCAATTCAGCTTTGAAACCCAAGCTGCTGGCACACACAACACACATGCCAGAAGAGACTGGTAGATGTAACCACCACCCCGCTCTCCTGGAGCGGCAGGAGACCCTGGGCACATGTTTCCCATGCTGGAGCAGGAATGTGGGAGCTCTGGGGTATTCTTTGGGAAAAGGCAGGAGGTGCTTTAGCTCATCACTTGCCCTGCATGCAGCAAACACCATCCACTGTGCCCAAAGGAGAGCTGATGGTTCCAAGCACCCCAGTCCTGGGAGAGCCCTCATGGGGCCCGGGGTGAGCAGGCAGCCAAGAGCCGGGCTCCATCCTGCCTCCCCCAGACCTCAACAGCACTTCAAGCTCATGGCTGGGCCTCTCTGAAGTTTGCCTTGTGGGCTTCCCATGTTTGTTTTGTTGGAAGCAGGAGAGTTCACGTTCCCAAGCTTCCCTCACGCTGCAAGGTTTATTTTTTTACATATTAAAAAAAAAAGAAGAAGAAAGCAGAGCTCTGCATGGAACCTCAGCATCAGCCCCAGGCACCAAACAGGCAGTTTAGAAGAGGCTGAAGTTGCTGGCAGCTTTGGGGGAGGTTCTGCAGCCCCATTTCTTCCTTTTCATGCCAGAAACTCCATCCCAGCTCCATCTCTAACCACAGCAACATGTATTGGAGAGAGTCCATCTTATAAACCACCGCCTTTCTTATTTGAAAGTAAAAAGCATGAGGGAAAGAAAAAACCTACCAAGTGGGGCCGTTTCACCCCTCTCAACCACCTAATGCAGACACCAAAGGGGCAGCACCTCCCCAGCACCAACAGTCTAAGAAAATAGGGGAAAACCAGGGAAACAAGGCATTGGCTTGCCAGCAACCGACCGGCAAAAAGAGGGGGCTGCTGAGCATGAAAACACACAGGCAGCTCCTTTGCAAGTCTCAAGCTCAGGAACGAGAGCAACCACATCTTACCTGGCCTTCTCCAGCCCTCCAGGATTTAAGCGCCAGCTTGGCTCCAAAGGCAAGAAGCACCCAGCTGAGTGCAGGTGGGATGTGAAGGAAGCTTGCTGGGACAAGGCATCTCATATCATTAAATGCTTTGGGGGAAGCTGGGATGGAGGAGATTTGGGTGAACACCAAGCTTTGTAGCAACTTGCTTGCTCTAGGAATGAAAACCAAACAAGGCTGCTTCATAAGCCTCCAGCTCTGCTGAATTTAAAGGATCAGCACAAATAATGCACACCTGGGAAAGAGCTTTCTCTGGGGGGCAGGTGGGCCCAGAGGAAAGGGAGGTCTCTTTAGAAGTCCCAGGGTACTCAAGGCTCTGCAATGGGATTTAGCAAAGCGCTTTGCAGCTGTGGAGCCATCCTGCTGGGCTGGACCCAGCTGTTACCCAGCTGCATCTGCTGCTCCCGAAGGAAGGATGTATCAGAGCACAGTGATTTGTTTTTATTGGGAATATTTGCTTCCTGCCACCAGGATGCAAGTGCAAGAGAAACGTACAGGGGGTTGAGACCTTGTGCACCCTGTGAGGCAGAAAAGGCTTGTTAAGAGGGGTACGTGTTACCCAGCATCTGCTGAGGCTGTGTAAATGAGACGTAGCCAAGAGCAAAGTCCTGCCCACATGGGGAGGGCTCTGTGTCCCCCATGGGGATCAAGAGTTACTGGTGCAGGAGGTGCTGCCCAAGAGCTCAGAGCATCAGGCTGAGCTGGTGTTTCACCCCTTGCTTTGTACATGCAGGCACTCAGTAAGAGCATCTCCATGGGGTTAAGTGAACAGCTTTAGGGCTCAGGATAGGTGGAAGGGCAATTTATTTTCTGCTCATTCTGGTTTCCCCCCCTGTGTTCTCAGTAAATCTCCACATTGCCCTCAGAGGCAGGAGGCACTGAACAGCAGAGGCTTCCTCCTGCCTTGCCCTCCATAGGGCAAGGTGGGCTGCCTTTGCCTGACCAGCAGCAGAGGAGCTCACGAGGGTTTCTCACCCTGCAATACCATGGTGCCAGCCTCTCCTCTCCAACATGAGAACTTTCAGGTAACACCACAGAGCAGAGGTACTCTCCCGCTGGGTGGTTCAAAGCCACTCTGCTCCTTTCCAGAGCTGCTTCCTGCAAACACCAGCTAATGCAGGCTGTGCACAGCGTGGCGGCAGTGGACAGCAGGAAACAGCTGAAAGAAAACACCCCCAAAGCGGTCACGGCACATTCCCCAAATAGCAGTGGCCATTCTGCGGCCAGAGAAAGGCTACGAACAGAGGGAGAGAAGTTCCCTCTGCTGCCCTGGGAGCGTTTTCAGGCATCAGAGGCATGTGAATGCGGATACTGCCCTTGGGAGAAAGCTCTGCCTGCGAACTGCAACCCCCCTGCTTGGTGTGAGCATCTCAGTCTTTCCCGAAGTCCCAGAGCTTTGTTTCTGGCTCTCTGTGGGGTGATTCCTGCCGGCTGCCCCAGGCACATCCTCCTGCATCTTGCCACGGTGAGACCGAGGTGGGAAAGCCACGGCTGGTGCTGGCTGGGAGCTGCTGAACACCGGCTGTGGGGTATCCTGGCTGGGACAGGCAGGCTCCTGCCTGCACTGAGGCTCCCTGGCAGGGGGCCGAGTCCTGTGGTGCGAGGCGAGGCAGGGCTGGGAGCACTGAATGCTTCGGTGGCTTCACGTCACCCCTGAGGTTTCAACTTCCATGTTACACTGCCTGGCAGGCACCTAACCCCTCTCCTACAGGATCCCCGTCCCCACAAACCTGCATGGATGGGCAGGAGGAAGGCGGCTGTTTTCTATCTCCCCTCTGCTGACCAAGAGGTTTCATGGGACCCTCATGATTTTCACTTCCTGATTGATGGGGTGTTCGTAATCAAGGGGAAAGGGCACATCTGCCCCTTCTTAGTTCTGAATGAGGTTGGGTCAGAAAACCTTCTTTCTGCCAATGAACTCCTTCCCCAAGGGGTAGTGCGGGTGCTTTCCCCTCCCACCCTTAGCAGGAGCAAGTGAAAGATGCCTCTGCATCCCCTTCCTGCTCCACTGGGAGAGGTGCCCCTTCTCTTTGGTGACTTCCCTGCCCAATTTCAACACCATGGGGACATACCATGTGCCCACACACACAGACACATGCACACTCACACACACACCACCCAGTCCAGCTGGGGAAACCAGCAAGAGTACAGAATAAAGGGGTCTGGATGGTTGGTCCCGCTGGGTGTTACCAGTATGGGGTGGTGGCAAGGAGGATCTGCAGAGCCATGGAGAAGCAGGGCAGTTGTGCCACCCCATAGGCCACAGAGCGTGTGGGGGCCTTCAGCTGCAGGAGGTAGGCGATGGTGTGGATGATGCGTCCCACACAGAAGATGAGGAAGTGGATCCTGGCCACCGCGGGAGTGGGATCCAGCAGGGAGTAGATGGCTCCAAGGAAGAGGAAGGGAAAGATGTTCTCCATGTCATTTTGGTGGGCCCTGAAAGGGGAGATAAAGTTATTCCTTCCCACCAGGCTTTCCTGCTATCTCCCCTTTACATAATAAGGGGTGGTTCCCCTACTGTGGTTTCTCCAGAGGAGGAGCTCACAGGATGGGAGGGGTCATAGCTTCATTCCTCTCCCTAAGTCCATTCAAAAGGGACTGAGGAAGAGCACCCTGAGCACTCCCTGCACTGTATCAGGAGCATCTCCTTAACTGGATCATAGCCAGGTTGGAGGGACCACAGTGGCCATGTGATAGCACATTGGTACTTGTGGGTCCAAACCCTGTGCTCCATCTGAACACACACCTGCCTGGGTGTCACAACATCAGGATCTGATCATTCATGTAGGTTGTGTTGCTTCTCCCCCAGGTACCATCCTTAAAAAACAGTCCATGAAGCAGCAGCCTGTCCTCATCCTCCCATCACCTCTGCCTCTCCCTCTTCCCTTGCAATGCAAGACCTGTTTTCTGCAGCACAGGGCCCCATGGAGGGGTCTTATAGGTCATGCTTTGGTTGATGGGGATGGATCTGGGCTGAAGAGTGACACAGTCACAAGGCACAGTTGCCTTTTCTCTGATATCTCTGAAGGCCTGAGAGGCAGAGATGAAGCCCTGATAAGAGCTGCCCTTGCTTCCCCATTCCTGTGCCCAGGCATGTTTTTGCGTGTCCACAAGGCCAAGATAAAATCATAAGCAATTTCTTCCCTGAAACAAAGGCCACGATGCCAAGGTGCTGCACAAGGTGAGAGGTGACCCAAAAGTTTTAGGGCACTCTGTCACAGCTCATTAGGGCAGACACAGCCTGGGATAGACCTGGCTGAAAACCGGCTTTGGAAAAGAGAGAGTTGTGTTTTAAGCCCCTTCTCCTGCCCCTGGTGTCAGATCTATGGAGCAGTTGTTCCTGTGTCCACAGTATGGATGAATTGGCCTAGAAAAGACACTAAAGTGAGTCCTGCTGTTGTAGCAGCCGTGACAGGAGGACTCGGTGCACATGGACTAATCAGAACCTGGACACGGAGGAGATGTATTCCCTGCCAAGTGGAGAGTGGAGGGGAGGAGCAGGAAGCCCTCTGCTTCTCTTGGCCAGACAGTCCCTGGGCAGAGCCAGCCCCTTCCCAGACACAAGGACAGGCTCTCCTGCTCACAACCCCATTCACTTCCCAGCCCAGGGTCCCGCTTGCCTTCCCAAGCCAGCATCACCTTTGTGGGTACCACCACAAACTGCTCCCTCAGCCCAGCCAGGACCATGGTGATGAGCACGATTTCCTTTGGTGTCAGCCATGCTGGGAGGGGGCAACTGATGGACACCCACTGCCCCGGCCAAACCAGCCCCAAGGGCTCCGAGGTTCAGCAGGGATGGGAGGACAAATGGAAGAACAGGGAGGAGAAAGGAGAGCAAAGAGCTCAGATGCAGCCAGGGGCCTCTCTGCGAGGCAAGGGGGAAACCTCCCTCCCGGCTGCCACTCACTCTCCCCTGCTCTGTCCCTGCCCAGCAGCCTGGCCATGGTTCTGCTCCCACACCAGTAATGCCTGAGGAGAAAATCCAGCATCACCCTTGTTCAGGGGAAACCCCTTGGGTTTAATCTGCATTCCCTGGGGCTGAGCACTTGAACTGTGCAGTCAGATCCCAGACTGCTCCAGGTCTTTGCTGCAGCTCTGGTTATTTATTTTTTTATGGAAGTTTGTCTTTTTCTGACTAATCAAAAGGGGACCGTTGTTATTATTATTATTATTATTATTATTATTACCACCATTATTTTCTTTTTCCTAGCTAGGAAGCAGCTTGTTTGCCGTCCTCCTTCCTCTGGAAGCCTGGGGATTAGGGGGCACTTGGATGTTCTTAAAGCAAATCTTGCAGGTGGTGAGAGGTGAGTGGTGCAGTCCCCAACCCGGAGCAGAGGTGGCAGCCAAGGGCTAAGTGATGGCAGGACACAGCTGCAGCCCCTTTCCTGCGGGTCACCTGAGATCCAGCCCAACATTTGGGGTACCTCCTTCTGGGTAAGGGGGATGGCAAACCAAAGCCTGGGGCTTTATGACCCCATGGTTTTCCTCTGAGGAAGTGAAAGGCCTCACAAAAGAGGGGGAAGATTCAGAGCTTGCCCAGTTAGGGAGGAGAGCTTACTACAATCATTCCATACTCTTCCTAAATCCCCCCAAAAGGGCAGTCACATACAGCCTTGGGACCAGTCACACAGTTCCCTTTCCAAGGTGTGCGGGGATCTGGGGGGTTTGAGGTCCTGTTGGAGCAAGACAGAAGGAGCTTTTGGGCGTGGGTACTGGAAAAGACCTCGGGCTTGCAGGACTTTGAGCATCTAGGAATGAACTTGTGTCAGAATCGCCTGTTGAACCCAAACCTGGCTCCTTCCATGCGTCCTTGCTCCCAGTGCACACCATGCTCCCATTAAAGATTAAACTGCTCTAATGTGCAGGGTCCTAGGGCTGAGCTCCAGGCATCCAACTCATCGAGGTAATGACTTAATTAATGAGCCTGTTAGCTTCCCACTGCTGCTCTGCCAGCAGCTGCCAGGGGTGTCCCTGCGGCACAGGGAATGCCAGCACTGCCGAGGACTCACCTGCGGCACCGCTCCACGTCGGGGTCCTCACGGTAGTACTGCAGCCCCCCATTGCGCAGCGCATCCTCCGGGTTAGCAAATGCCTGCAAGAGAGAGTCCCCATTATATATACTTTAACAAGAGAGAGTCCCCATTATATATACTTTAATATTTCCACAGGTGGAACTTCACACGTAGAAGCTTCACCCCTCATCTTTAAGACCTGTGGGGATTTCTTCCTGCAGCAGTTTTTTACCAGCCTTCTCAGACATAAGAGCAGCTGCACTTCCATGTGCACAGACCTGGGGGTTAAGCCCTGAACATCCCAAAGGGTTTTCCTTATCCTCTGGAAAAGGCAACTGTGCCCACCAAGCAGGTCCCAAAGTGGGGGCTTCAAGGGAGCTTTGGCTTCATCCCGGTCGTCTTCTCCCCATTAAGCCCAGAGGCTTTGCCAACTGCTGGCACAGTGTGCAGACACTGACTGCAGCACCCAAAGCATCACCAGGACTGACAGAATAGTTCACCCTACCAAGAAAGAACATTCCCTGGCTGACTCTTTGGCAGTGATACCGCGACTGAAACAGGCCCCAGGGAAAGTGGATCCTACGCTAATGAAGTTACAAACAAAAATGACTTATACGAGCTCCCCACCTATGCTCAGAAGCTGTTCTTCAAGGACCTAGTTACAAAGACAGCTTCACTTTGCAGCTTGGGAAGGACCCTGGTGCTTTCTTTAATCATGTTACAAACCCAGACTGTCCCGGGGCTGCATCAGTTAGAAACACAAGGGGAGAACCTAAACCCTCAGTTACAGTGATGCTACTGCACAGGGATATCTCTTTGTATTTTATCTAACAACAGAATCCTCTCCTTCCTGCTCTACCAATGCAGTCACAAACTCCTCAAATGCTTTAAAACAGATTTTACAGACAAGTTCAATTTGGGTGCAGGTAATAAAAACCCCAGTTAACGCTGTAACCTGACAGCAGCTACAGCTCCCATTCCTCCCTGTATTTTCCCCTGTGTCCAAGAACCATTTCCTTCAGCTATTGTTTTTATTCCCCACGACTTTCTGCTCTCCTGGAGCATTCACACAGCCTCCAAAAGCTCAAAAGCTTTCTGCTACATTGCATGATTTCTTCTTCAACCTTTTCTTCCCCTCTCTTTTCTTCCAGACATGGCAACTGAACTGTAAGCAGTGTCTGCAGAAGCAGCTCACCTGCATGGCACTTTATAGCTGAAGTTATTATTTAGATTGGGATTCAGAAATTATAAACATCAAGCTCCAGATGGTAGAAGCAAACAATGAAGAGCCAAAAAGAAGCAAGATATTTATCTGCTGCGGCTATGAAACATGGTTTGCTTTCAATTTAAGTCAAAGAAAACTCAGCTTGCTTCAGGAAAACTGTGTCGGCCTTTGCAGGAATAGAAGAAGAAAGAAAAGCTACAGAAACCCAAGGAAAAAGAAAGAGGGAAGAAGTAAAAGGAACCTGGATCTTACCTTCTTTCTGAGCCTCACTTGTCCCGTGATGATGGCAACGACGTACATTTTTAAGATCAGGATCGTGCTGTAGAAGGTAAAGGACACGAACACTTTGTTTTCCATCATTCTGGAAATGCCGCTCGCTCGCCTGCAGCACTCACAGCTGGTGGGGATCTCGCTTGGGCTGTGGGAGGGCTCTGCGGGAGAGGGGGCAGGAACAACCGCATTTAACACAAGTCACCACCGCTCCTTCGGCTGAAGCCCACAGCCCCTGCACACCCCTCCCGGCTGATGTGGCAGAGCTGCGTCTGCTCCTCGCACCCTGCTGCAACCAGATCCGCAGGGATGTGATGCCCCAAGCCGGGATACAGCCCCCTCCACTGTGTGGGCCACAGCTTGAGCTCTTGGCTCCCTAAACCGGCCCACCACGATCCCCCTGTTCCACCTCCCCTCCTGTTTGTGTGCAGTGGGACGGAGCTGCGCAGAGCATCACCCAGCCAGGCACTGCTCACCCTCGACACGAGCTGATCAGACCTGGGAAGAAGGAGGAGTCATGAAGAAGGTAGGCACCTACCTCAGCCACATCCAGCCCTGCGCTCCCTCTGTCCCTGATCCTACAGCCCACCCATCAGTGACAGCACTCCCAGTACTCCCCAGTCCCGCCCAGAGCAAGCTGAGCGCTCCCTTGGCAGCCAGCCCTCCCCTACACAGCCACCTGCAAGAGGGATGGGGCACAGAGGACAGCGCCATCACTTGTCCCACCAGTGCCCATCACCGTAGGGCCTGGGCTGCCCCTGCACCCCCCCGGCTGGGAGTGACCAGCTGGAAGCACAACCATACAGGTCCACAAAGCCCCAGACCTTCGACCAGCAGCCTCTCCAGCCCCAAACACTGCTGAGGAAAGAGTGGGATGTAAACCCCTGCAAGCCCCCCGCTCTTCCAATGCAAACCTTTAACTCTTTCTTCCCCAGCCCTTTTTTAATGTCTTAACTGCCACGGAGCAAAACCAATCCTGACCTTTCCAAGAAGGACCAGGATAACCCAAGAGGAGCATCGCACTCAGCCCAGGATGAGCCCCGGTCCTGTCATTACAGACCCTGTTGCACAAGAACAGGTTTGTCCTCAGCAATGGGGTGCTGGTGGCACCCACTCCCCAGGGAGAACAGGCTACAGGAGCCTTTGTCCCGAGGCGTTGGTGTGAACTTAAGGCAGCCCCATGCTCTGGGCACAGCAGCCCTTAGCTCGGGTGATCCAGGAGGAAGGTTGATGCGAGCACAGGTAGGGTTATTTAGGCAGATCCGGAAGGATACCTGCTCCTGCTCAGGGAGCAGCTGAGGATGGAACCAGTCACCTCCCTATCTGGTCAGGGTTATCTCACCAACCCTGACCAGTGGCCAATGGATGCCACAGGCCAGTCCCTGCCTCTCTCTCCTTTCCATTTACCTCTGAATCTCTTTTGCCACAGCTGCTCTGGCCTGATGCTGCAAACCCAAAGCTTATTGTAATGCACTGCCTCAGCCTTATGACACTGAGTGTGCAGAGAGCCTCTGAAAACCCCAAACACTGGGTTTCAAGTGAGAGGTACTTGCAGCTGGTCACCACCACCCTGCAGAACAAGTCCTGGCATAGCTCAGCTGTGAATGTCTCCACTGAGCTGCTTCCCCAGGGGTGGAATGGGGACACCAGGAACACAGCAGCCATATGGGTTCAAACACCATGGTAAGAGCTGGAGTGCTCACCCTGGACCCCAGCCGTGTGCTGCCACCAACCCCACACACATCTCCCTGGAGTTCAGCATGATTTTATAAACATAATGCTAAGAATAAGCTAAAAATAATGCTAAGAATAAGCATAATGCTAAGAATATGCAGTCAATGGCAAAGTCACATCCCAAACACTGCTCCCTCTTCCATCTCCCCTCTCCATTGCTGATAGGGAGCAAACCCATAGCAGAGAATCCCGGGGGGTGATGCAAGGGCCTGACCAGCCCTGCAGCAGGGATGAGACTTTCTGCAGCAGCCCCTTCCCCAGCTCTCCTGGATGCCTGGAGCCAGGGCAGGCAGCCAGACCCTTCATCACCCCTCCACGGAGCCGTTCCAGTTGTTACCGGCTGAGGATCCAGCCCATGGGCACTTCACCAGCGAGACCTTTTTCCTTCGTGTACCTTCTTCCCCTCCGGAGGCAGGCAGCATGTCTCGCTGAGCAGCAGGAATATGCACAAGCTCAGTACCACCTGCGGACAAGCCAGGACAAATCCTGCTGGCCAGACAGACTTTCATTATCCAAACACTGTCAGGAAGCCCTGGACACTTTCCACCAGCAACCAGCACAGATTTAAATGGCAAGGAGTGATCAAGAAGCACAGTTTGTTTAGGCATGAGCCCACGGGGTACATTAGGTATGGGTGTTGCATGTGCTGGGCAGGCTCTGTGGGGTATGAAACCCATGTGGTTATGCATTTCAGACCCTTCCATCATTACACAGAGCTGAACTCCAATGGGGAGGCCAGTGTCTGTCAGCAAAGAATCTACATGGATGGGGATGGGGGGTGGAAGCTGCTTGTAAAGGCAGGTATAATACTGCTAGGATCCCAGCTCCCGCTTGCTTTCTCAAGCTTAGGGGTCTCACGCTAGGTAGGACACATCCACAGTCACTTCCTGGCTTTCCTGCCCTAAGACAATGCAGCTGCCAGGAGCAAGTTCAACCATCCCATTAATTGAGTAGAAGCAGCCTGTTAATATTGTTTGATCCTCCTCCATGGATCACATCCTGCTGGGACAGAGCTGTTGCTTGAAGGAGACCGGGTCCTAAGGGCAATACACCTTTAAACTACAAGCCATATCCTAAGGCTTTTGGCACAGGAGGTCTCTACCCAGGACAAGACTCACCCAAACCCTACACTGCAAGCAAAAGCACTGCATTTTGGGGAGAAATGGTTAAGAATCAGGGGCAGATTTGAAAGATTTAGTCCCCAGGTTAGGCTGACCCCAGGAGCTGGGGGGGAGAGGATGGAGGGGTTTGCTGGAAAAGGAAGTGGGATGCAGCAGGCAGAAGGAATGAAAGGGAGATGCTCGAGAAAAGAACTTTTAAACAGAAGCCTCTAATAACAACCCTGCTTTGGAGAGATTATGGAATAAAAATCACTCTCCGTTCCCACACGGGTTGGTATTTATTTGACCAGCCGAACTGCACTGCAGTGTTATACCTACACGCTATTGCTATGCTGGGGAATTTCCTAGGGGCAGCTATACGAGAGGGTTGGTTGTGTAATAAATGTTTGCCAGTGGAGCACAGGCACGTATGCTAGGGTGGCACGGCCTGGGCTCCAACCTGATCTCAAAGGGCAGCACACGCTCTGGGCAATTACAGCTCCGAATTCCCAACATTTTCCCACGAGCAATTACATCCCACGGCACAGGCTGGGCAAAGAGCCGGAGGGGACCGCTCCAGCCTGGAGGAGCCAGGCAGGCGGGTGGCACTTCTCCAGCGTGCTCCCTACGTGCTGGTGAAGAAGGTACAGAACCCAGCTGGGATTTTGCCTGCCCGTGGCTCCAAGCAGTGCTGAGCCGTATTCCTGGCTTGCTCGGATGCTGCCGTGGGCGCTGGTGCCCTCCTTCCCAGCCATTTCTCCGCGCTGTTTCCAGCACAGAGCCTCAAAGCCTGCAGACGTGCCCTGCCCCAGTGATCACTTGCCCTGGGAAATCTAACTGCCCACGGGAGGTTGTGCTGCGTTGGCTCGTCAAGCACAGCCACGTTTTCAAGTAAAGGCATGAGCAGGTTAGCTATTTATTAAAGAGAAAGGTGCTCCACCTGCGTTCACTCCTTAGCCTGCAAGAAAAGTCACATCGCTGTGACGCACTTTCTGGCCCAGATGAATGAAATCCTGTTGCTTCACCTGCAGCTCCCCATCTCCTGAAACAAATGGGGTGCTTCAGCCTTTGGCAAACTCAGGCAGATTCTGTCTGGTTCGCATTTTAAAGTGACTGTGCTGGCTGGAGCTCTCTGAGAGGCCTCGGGCAGGAGGAATGTAGGATCAGGCTCTCCCAAATAGTCCTGCAGAAGACCAGATGCCTGCAGCAAGAGGAATCCAGCAGGAGAGGCCCCGGGGAAGGGGCAGGGGTGCAGTGGCTCTGGGTCTCAGGCAGAGAAGAGGAGCAGAGGAAGCTGCTGTTCCTCAGCCAGCCCCTGACAGGGATCAGGCCCAGGGCCAAGTGAGAGGCGGTGGCACATCCTCCTGCCTCCTCCCTCCAGCTCCATCCACCCTTCCTGCCTGCTCCCAGGACGCTGCCCTGCTCTCCGCCACGATCCTGCCCCAAGATATCATACCCCATACCCACCCTGGCTGCAGGGGACTCACCATGTCCCCTGCTGCTGTGAGAGCAAGGAGAAACTGCAAGAGAGGCCATCAGAGCATGTGGGAGGCAGACTATTTTCTCTTATTCTGAGCCTCACATGGATTCATGCCTGGGCTTTCTCTTAGAGGAAAGAATTCTTTGGCTACGCTGCTCTGTGCCTTCAGAGATGCAACCCTGCTGGGAGAGGGGCTGAGGGAAGTTATTTCTGCTCTCCCCTGCCTTCTCCTTCTGATCCAGCTGGCTTAAAGGGTGGTTTTAGGGCAAACCTGCACCTGTCAGTGGTGCCATGGGGCAAAGGTGGGACACAGCGGTCAGGGTTAGGGTGTGGGGGAAGCCAGCATCTCTCCCAGCCACAACACAGCAACTCGTGATGTCTTTCTCCTCCCAGGAACGAGATCCCTGTAAACAACAGGCAAAACCCACTTATGTTATTGCCCAAAAAGAGGGAGTTTCCCCTCCAGACTGGGAGAGAAGAGAAACAAGTCTTGCTGCCAAAAAATTCAGATTTGGAAAACATTTCCTAGGCTTCACGCATTTGGAAAACTACAAAGTAAATACAGATTCCCTGGTGGAATAGTCTTGAGCAAAAACAAAGGTAAAGGGTGCTGCATGGTCCTGCTGTGTTATGGAGAAATGGGAATCTGGGCACGTTTTACAGCATGAAGAGCACTGGCTCACTAACAAGGCTTGACGACAAAGCAGATGCGGTCCCAGATTTCAGCCTTATGGAGACCTGGCGTTCAACAGCAGATGAGCAGCTTCAAGGAGAAAAGTAGGAAACAAATCAAGATGGCCCATCTCTTTTTCAGTGCCTGACCAAGGGCTGTGATCTTCTGCTATGCAGATCCACAGGGCTCTGCTTGCAATGGGCTGTCCGGTTTAAGAACAGAGACTTCTTTAGCTCCTGGGCTGCTAACCCTGTCCTGAAACCTACGAAGACCAGCAAGCTTCAGAGCTCGCCCATTCTAAAGCCTTTTAAGTCCTGTGTTTAACTGAAAGGCTTCAAGTTGTCACAGAGACACAGAAACACAGGACAAGAAGGAATGGAAAGGTCAGTGCTTCAAGCACTGACCTTGACCCCAGAGGAGAGCGGCTACACCTTCCTGGTGAGACCAGCTCTAACGGAGAGCCTTTCTTCATGGCCTTGTCATAGAGCTTCACCCACCCCAAAGCTTTCCAAATCAAAGAGCTTATTTTTACCCCCCCCAGGTTCTCTGCATCCCCTCCATCATCCCTAGATTAAACAGCAGCATTTCCTCCCACCCTTCCTCATAGGTCATGATTTCTAAATCTCTTTATCAC